AATAATAATAATAATAATAATAATAATAATAATAATAATAATAATAATAATAATAATAATAATAATAATAATAATAATAATAATAATTGAGAAAATGTATAATGATGGGATGCAGAGGCACGATCAACCCATTGATACCAAATACGGCATTTGTTGGGTACATAGAGAGTGTGTCAAACCTCCAGACGGCCGAAATACGGTGCAAGTGGCTATCACGTCTGCTGGCCGGACATTTCAAACTCCCGAGCTCCGAGCGAATGCTGTGGCACATAACAGAGGAGATGGAGATAATGAAGAGAGCCACAAGGTTCTTCAAAAGGAGTTGCATCTCAACTTTCAGCATCAACCACACTGACCACATTTGTGAGGAAATGGGGTGGAACTCTTGGAGGAAACCTAACTGGCTCGCTGAGGCTTTTAGCCCTTATACCAGCCGAGATTATCGACAACACCAAAAATAGGAACTCATCACTAAATGCTATTATAAGTAGTTGCTTCTATCATGAAATCAAGAGGTCATAACAGTATTTTCAAACTCGTTTAAATGGGAATAAAAAGGCTTCAATTTTACTTCTTGAGTCACAGTTTTCATCACCTGCATGTTTTGATTTTTCCTTTTATTGCTTCCCAATAGTGTAACTTGATCTAATTCATGTAAAGAATATCATAAAATCACAAATTATTACTATTTCCAATCTATCCTTCATATATAAACCAAATTCTCAGTCTTACATCATCGTACATTCCGAATGAATACAAAGATTAAAGAAAGCCTTCACCTGTCTCTTTTTCATACAAAATTTCCAAAACGATCGCAGGTGTATGACAATAGATACACTCGTATATATCACAAAACAATTACGCAAGTAGAGCGAAAGCCAACCATCACTTTTACATCATGGATGAATAGTGGTGGAACATATTCCTAGCAAAGCATATTCAATGGTAAGCATAATTCCAGAGAAGGCAACAAGAAAACAAAAAATGATGGGGAAATGTGGAAAGTTACATGTGGGTCGATATCAAATGCTTTTGAGTAACTTCAAGGTTTCATCAATATGCTTTTCAGGTTGGAACTGATTATTGTAAATAAGACGACAGACGCCATTCTTGTCAAGCACGTAAGTCTGCCTTCCGGGCAATGCACCAAAAAGGTCCGATGGGACACCCCACTCTTTTCTCACTTTATTGCCCTCGTCACTTAACAGGGTAAATGGAAGTCTGTATTTCTCCGCAAACGACTGTGACATCATCGCAAACACTTCACTTAGTTTCTACAAATTTTAATGCCCTACCCAAAAGCAAGAACATGTGTGGAATTACAAAATTGAAGTACCTCAAAGCTTTTAGCCTAATTGCCCAAAATTTTATTTTCTTTTCAGAATTACGATATCTCTTTGCAGTATTTAGGGTGTGATTGGATATAAACTTGAAAAAAAAAA